GTGGTCCCTTCCAACTCTACAATTCTATGATTCTGAATCCACGGGATGCTTCTAGGATTATTGATGGCATGCCTGAAAAGATTCAGTTCCCCAATGTTCTGGATCACAGCTCTCATCGGCTCCCCCTGCTGTGCTCCCACTCTATGGGCCACGCTGGCTGAATCTGATGAAAAGACATCTGGAAGGCACCAGGTTCAAGAAGCATACAATAGCAAAGACTGAAAGAAACTGAGGGGCATTAGACTGCAGTTAAGCAAAACTGAGGCAGGTTATATTTAAGAAAAATAGCGGCAGGGAGGCTGAACAATTGTGTACTGAGAAAAAAAGCAAGCAATATCTTGAAACTACAAGGGTGAAGATTTAGAACTTAATAAACCTTAGAGACCAACTAAGTTTGGTCTTGGTATGAGCTTTCGTGTGCATGCCGACAATTATTATTATTATTATTATTATTATTATTATTATTATATATTTCTACTGCGTCAGACCAACACAGCTACCTACCAGGATTTAGAACTTGGAAGATTTAAGCTGTAGTGTTTATGGTGCATCTGAGTTTCTCTGCATCAGAGAAGCCCAGCATTATGTGGCTCCTTCCACACTAGCATGACTCCTCTCTTAAGGATGCAAAGCTGGGGATCATAGACTTACAGGAATTGGGTCATCTAATCCAGCCAATAGTCATCTAATCCAGCCTCCTGGTGCTGACTCAATTCAGAACCACTATGTGCTGCTTGTGAGACACCAGAAGAAAACCCGACTACCACAGGAGTCATAGAATCATAGAGTTGGAAGAGACCACAAGGGCCATCGAGTCCAACCCCCTGCCAAGCAGGAAACACCATCAGAGCACTCCTGACATATGGCTGTCAAGCCTCTGCTTAAAGACCTCCAAAGAAGGAGACTCCACCACACTCCTTGGCAGCAAATTCCACTGTCGAACAGCTCTCAAATGCAAAACGGCCCTCAGCATTTTGCCAGTTGTGCAACCAGGGAGGAGAGGGCATGTCTTGTCATGCCTTGCATTCAGGACTCAAAGAGCATAATATGGCTTGTTGTGTCTTGCATTCAGGACTCAAAGAGCATAATATAACCTTTGGCTTCTTTGAGAAAAGACCAAGTTTATCGGTGGAGCTGAAGGAACATTGCAAATTTCAAGTTTTAGGTGCCCAGAGGGACCCCAACCACTCTGTCAAACTGGAGGATTATAAAGGAAATAAAAATTAAAGGGGGAAAGGTCTCTATTGCTAAGGAAAGGGAAAATGCTCCATTGTCTCTGTTCTTTCCACAGATCTGCAACTGAATGACATCCATGCCCCTGGCACAGCACCCGACTCCTACAGCCCTGACTCAATTCCATGAGAGTTATTCATGCCAAGCCTCCAGAACACACTTCCTCAATGGGCACCCTTGTTACACATACACTTGGCCTGGCGCTAAAGGCATCCCCACAAGCATCCAAGTTACACTCCATCACCGGACCAGAGTGCATCTAAAACAGCAGCGTTCCACAAGTGGAAGTGCACGAACTTTTCTTACTTTTTATTAATCTTAATTTTTTTTTTTTTTTGGCAATGCGTTTTAATGTCTTTTACAGCGTTGTTACCTGCCCTGGTACCTTAGGAGGAAGGGCAGGCAATAAACTGAAATAATAATAATAATAATAATAATAATAATAATAATAATAATAATAATGTACTATTATAAGAAGTGTGTGTTTTGGGGAATGCTCCATGGCGTCTGGGAGCCAGGGTGCCACTCAAAGGGCTCATCGTTTTCTCTCTGGAGACGAACCCCACCCGCCAACCGACCGAGCTGCCTCAGGCTCCTACACTGGGCTGGCTCCTTCTGCTGTCAGCTTCTTCGCCTCAAGGAAACGCCGCGGGGTCCCCCAGAGGCCATCCAGTCGACCCACCACCACCTCCCGAACGCAGCCCAACTCACACCACGACGCGGTACAGGACCCAGGAGATCATGGCCGGGGCCGCCGGCGCCCCGGAGGCGCCTCTGCTTCCTCCGCCTGGGCCGCCTCAGCCAAGGACGCTCCGCTGGCGATGCCCCGACCCCGCGGCGGCAACAGGTGCGGCGACCTCCCCTCGCCAGCCGTTTGAATGTTGGTGCCAGAGCGCACGCGCGGCCCCCTCTCGCACCAACGGATCTGCCTGCCTCAGCGATAGGCTGCCCCGGGCCCCGCCCCTTGCGGGTGGGCGAATTAGGAGGCAGAGAGAAGACGACGGTTGCTGCCCCTTAGTGGTACTGGCGGCTGCTCCCCTTCTCTGACTGGCTTGAGGAGATCTAAGTAGCAGGAGAGAGAGTCGCTTCCGGCCTCTTCCGCCAGCTTGGTGCCCTCTCTAGGCGTTTTGGGACTACCACTCCCATCAACCCCAGGAGGCGATCCTTCCGGTCCGGGTGTTGCCTAACCGCGGAAGAGGCTGATGGGAGTGGTAGTCCAAAACATCCCTGCTTCTTTTACTTTCTTGTATTACAGTTTGTACTACAGTTTGAATTCTATGGAATTCCAAGAATTCACATATAAGAACGCATACCAAAAAATGCAGCATCTAGCAAAGTACATTACAATTCCTACAAAAGACAGAAAAATCATTACTTGGTCAGCCAGAACCATCAGCAATTTTCAAGGGAATCCGTGTTCAGCAGGGACTGCCAACTTGAATAAAATATTGGGGGGTTGGTTCCTATGTTGTTGAGGGAGGGAAATTTGGGAATCCGTGTTCTAGGTCAAGGCTGTCATCACTCAGGTAATAATAATAATGATAATAATAATAATAATTTATTTATACCCCGCCCATCTGGCTGGGTTTCCCCAGCCACTCTGGGCGGCTTCCAACAGAATATTAAAATACAATAACCTATTAAACATTAAAAGCTTCCCTAAACAGGGCTGCCTTCAGATGTCTTCTAAAAGTTTGGTGGTTATTTTTCTCTTAATAAAAGGAGATCTCGAACTTCAATAGGCCAATATTAAGAAAGGAGGGTTTATGTTTCCGTAGTTCCATCTCTCTTATTTGGCAACAGATAGGATCAGAATGTCAATAAGTCATAGAGTTGTGGAGTTGGAAGGGATCTCGTGGGTCATGTTACAGAAAATAGGGCTCCACCCTACACAATCTCCAAGGCATTATTCCTCGTTTAAAAGGACCACATTTCCCCTTTAAACCAGAACTTTACAATCGGTGTTTTCACATGCACAACAGTTCCCCCTGCTGGAGTGTTTTGCTGCCTGGAAAGAATCAATTTATAACTCTCATATTTGTAAATAAGATATTTTATGAATGAATAATGTATTTTATGAATGATACTCCTGCCTTTTCTTCTCCTGGAGATATCCCACAAGGCAGCAGATGTTTAGGATCAGACTTCTCCTTCTAGATGGGCAACCTTCCCAGGTTGAAAAGTCCCATCTGCCCTTCACTTCCCTGTACAGTGGTACCTCAGGTTACATACTCTTCAGGTTACATACGCTTCAGGTTACAGACTCTGCTAACCCAGAAATAGCGCTTCAGGTTAAGAACTTTGCTTCAGGATAAGAACAGAAATCGGGCTCCGGCAGCACAGCGGCAGCTGGAGGCCCCATTAGCTAAGAACAGTTTCAGGTTAAGAACGGACCTCCGGAACGAATTAAGTACTTAACCTGAGGTACCACTGTACAGTATGTGCAGAAACCGCTTGCTTGACTGTTGGACCCACTATTGGTCTTGTCCCCTCAATCTGCTGGAGCCTGTCTTTGCATGCAGGGGAAGTCTTTAAATCATTGAGGGTTTGAGACCAATTGGCTATCTCCACCTGATTTAGCTGGCCAATCAGCCAAAACATCACAATGAGCATAAAAGGGGAAGAGGGGTGCCATGTTTGGTTCACATCTGACCCTGGCAGTCACCTCTGCAGTCAGGAACTCCTAAATGGGCTGCAGATTGGTCATTAATTGGTAGGTTGGATACTTGTCAACAAAATGGTGAGTGAGACCTGTCAATCTGAGGTCTTTTGTGCATCAGTAGAACTGTATAACCCACAACGCGGGTGATGCTGTGGGTTAAACCACAGAGCCTAGGACTTGCCGATCAGAAGGTCAGTGGTTTGAACCCCGTGACGGGGTGAGCTCCCGTTGCTCGGTCCCTGCTCCTGCCAACCTAGCAGTTCGAAAGCACCTCAAAGTGCAAGTAGATAAATAGGTACTGCTCCGGCGGGAAGCTAAACGGCGTTTCCGTGCGCTGCTCTGGTTCGCCAGAAGCAACTTAGTCATGCTGGCCACATGACCCGGAAGCTGTATGCCGGCTCCCTTGGCCAATAAAGCGAGATGAGCGCCGCAACCCCAGAGTCGGTCACAACTTGACCTAATGGTCAGGGGTCACTTTACCTTTAGGAGTGTGAGAAAAACGAACCCAGATAAATACAATATCTAAAGAAGTGGATACAATATGTCAGGAAGATGAATGGCAGACCTGGATGGGCTATTTACAACGTATCATGATGGACAAGTTGGAAAAACATGTAATTTATGCATGCTCCAGTTTTTTCTGGACACTTTATGAACTTTTAAAAATTGTTCCCCCCTTTGTTTAGGGCTCTTCTTCCTTTTGTTGGAGAAGGGAGAGACACTGCTGCAAGAGATCAATAAAGACCAGGTTTAAAGAGCCTGTGTTGCTTTCTTTTACCTGATTGTCATCTCTGTTTTGTTTCTCTGACCAAGAGTGGACCTTGGGAGATCCTACATCCTTCGAGAGGGGGTTAGGTTGTAAAAGCAAATCTCAACTTCCACAACACCCTGCAATACAGGAATCACAGCAAAAGAATATCTAATGGAGAGGCCTCCCAAATAGAAAGGACAACACCCTTTGCCTAATGCTGACCCCCAAAAGAAGGCAGGGGGGAGGGGGGAAGAGGTGTTTCCCCCCCATGTGAACACAACATTACTTGACATGACAGTTCAAGGCAAAATCAACACCAGCTTCCAGACAGTTAATGAAGAAAGCATGAAGAAATAGGGAATAAATAACTTTATTACAATGAATTAAATTTCCCAAGTCAAATTAAAAGGTGTAGAGGTGCCACTATTTTTCACAGTGCACATTCCCAAGTGCATTTCGTATGTGGTTAAGCAGAAGTGTCTGTCGTGAGAAGTGTCCTGTCCATATAGAGTCTCCCCTACCTGCTTAATATCATGCCTTCCCTAGGAAAGGTCCAAGCGTCCTGATGGAAGCTTCACTTCACCTTTATCCCCCCAATATTTTTCCTCAAGTACTTCCCAGCAGAGACGTGGAAGGCCATTCTCCTTGAGAATTCAAAATGCTCTTGGTATTTCCTAATTTTGAGCAGCCTCCACACCTACCTGCCAAAGGCTATCTTGGCTGAAGACAAGAGAAACTCAAGTTCCAGAATGGTGAGACACAGATTCTCTGTGTAGGCCCAGAGGCACCCTGCTCTCCATCCAAAAAGAAGAAAGGCTGCAATCCTCACCATAACCACTCAGAGGTAAGCCCCACTTAATTCAATAGGGCTTACTTCAAAGTAAGGGGGTTAGGATTGCAACATAACTCACACCATAGGGCTGAGGCCATCACACTTGTGTCCTTCATATCCCTGGGCCTTACATTCCTGAATCCGGACAGGATGGTGTGTGTGTGTGTGTGTGTGCGTGCTACATTTTACACCACAAGAAATGCAGAGCCGAGGGGAGTTGAATTGTCCTTTTCCCCACCCTGCTGTTGCTGTGCATGGCTATTCTCCATGGCTTGAGATGCTTTTCTCCATCGCCTTGGGGAAAGGTGGCTGTGGAGAGTGAGGGTGAGGTCTAGAGAGGAAAGGCATAAGGACAGAAGAAGAATCCTGGTTGATCAGGCAATGGCCCATCAAGTTTGGCATCCAGTGGCCAACCAGAGGCCTGTGGGAAACCCACAAGCAGTGCCAGAACACGAGGTGATGAAGGAAAACTGGACAGAAGGCAGGGAGAGTCAGTTGAGTTTCAGCCTGGAGTCTTTTCCAGCCCTACCAAGGGATGCCAGGGGTTGGATGTAGGACGTTCTGCATGCCATTATAAGAGAACAAGGGAGGCGTTCATGGTGAGTTCCAGCACCTCTTTTTCTAGAAAAATAGCATTGACTACACTCTGCCTTTACAAGCGTTAGGTGTAGAGGGTCTCAATTGCACCCAAGGCTTTCATAAATACTGCAGATTAAAAGAGGAGACCACCTTTGGGTGCCCTGCTCCTTCCACTAAAGGAAGGCAGTGCATGGATTTCCACCTACGCCCATAGAATCATAGAACTGTAGAGTTGGAAAGGACCCAAAGGGCCAACCCCCTGCAATGCAGGAATCACATGACCCTCTTGAACCCAGGTATCCATGGTGCACCACTTTCTGTTTTCTATAACCCTCTGCACCACATTCTTAAGCCTGAGCCATAGATTACCAGGATCCTCCTTGCTCCTGTTCTTGCCCCAGGTTTAGCCTGTTTTGCTGTTCTCCTTCTGTTTGCACACTTGGATGTTCTGCTTGCCCTATGGATTCCATAGCCTCCTTCTACCACCCTTTCTAGAAGCCCTTGGCCTGACTCCTGGAGGCCAAGAGTCTGATTGAGGTTTCTCCATGCTTCAAATGGTTCTGAGGATCTGGCCCATTGAATGGTGCTAGCAGGAGATGTCACCAGTAGATCAAAATCCCATTCAGTTTATTCTGGGACTGGACAACAGCAAGTTCTGCCTTCTGCTGCTCCTCATCTCTCCTGAGCCAGTCCCAAGAGGTTCAAAGCCAGCCTTGATTTGGAAGAGGGAGCTTGGCCAAGTTGCAGCCACCCTGAGCCGGCAAAGCAAGCTACATGCAATGCTGACCCACTCAACTGGGCAAGAGTTTGCCCCATGCACCACCTTGAGTCACAGAGACCCATCTGCCACCTCTGCCCCACACTGAAAGCAGGCTTTGCTCTTTCCTTAATACACTTTTTGCCTAACAAGAAGCAATAAGCAGGACTGAGTACTCTTTGGGGAATATGTAAAAATATAGAGAGACGTCCGCTGCCAAAGTCACATATTTTAGTTGCATAATAAAATAGCTGCATATAGTAACTGTCTTCATATAATCATAGACTGTATGCATCAGTTGCACTATCCAGATGGATGTCTGGTCTCGATCCTGTGATATCTTCCAGCATATTCCTCTTAGTATGTGGAATAATGTTTTATGGACCCTCAGAAATCTGCAAACGAGCTTAGAAATCATGGGATTTCTGGTAGGGGTTGTGTAATTAATATTTATGTCTCTTTACTTGCTACCTGATTCCCAATCCAACCACCATTATGTTTTCTAGCTCTCTGTCCACAACAGCTAGAAAGCGGCTTTCTTAGGATGAGAGTTGCTGTAGGTTTAGAGGTTAATAAGAGCTGATAGACCAGTCAGAAAAAACTAGGATGTTAGAGGCACAGCTGGAAGTCAGCTGGGAGCTGCTGGTGCAGAGCCATAAAAAATGTGTGTGTGTGTGTGTGTGTGCGCGCGCGCGCGCAGAATCAGGGTTTATTTGTTGCAAGGCAGGAAGTATGGAGCAAAAGATGTTGGTTTGTATTGAGCTCCCTGTTTAATGGATTGGTATGGATTGGCAGGGGCCAGCTGAGTCAATGAGGCCCTCCAGACATAATTTCTACTGCACTTTCATCATGGTTTGCAATCAGGATGCTATTCCATTCCTTAAAAAACAAAACAAAATTAACCTTTTGGGAGATCTCAAAAGAAATGGAAGAAACCCGGGAGGAAAGGCAGGAGAACAGCGATTTGATGACAACGTTGTCGTGTGGGTGTACTTAAAAAACCAAAAGTTGCAACCCCAGAGGAAATCCCTAGTGTGGAAACGTAACATTTCAACTCTTACACGCTCAAGGGATCACCTCAAAAGGTCATTTCCAAGTGTGGTCATTATTCCGGGGAGCTTCATGTGTCTGTTGCGTGTGTATGTGTGGAGAGTTACTTCGGTGCTGAAATTTGGCAACAAGATTTGCGTTTCAACTGGCACGCTTGGCCAGCGTTGCATGGAGTTAATGACGTGAGGTCTAGGGGTATGTTATTATTATTGCATATACATCCAGGTCGACGTAGGAGTGTGTGAGTGTATGTTAGGTCCCTTTTGTGTTCTGGAGGAGCCTCTGCATTGAGGAGGCCCTGAGCTTATATCCTTACCGTGGAGAGAAGAAGGGTGGGGGATGAGTAAGCAGCCTTGCTCCAAGTGACAACAGTGCTCAGGTGCCCACCTCCAGCAGAAGTGTGTGTGTGTGTGTGTGTGTGCAGGTAGGGGATGGCGGTGACCTACCTCTGCCCTACAAGCTGAGATCTACCACGATATGCTTGTAAACCAGTGTGTTCCCCTTGAAGCTGGGCGCAAGCAGGATATCCATGTCCTCCAAAGGGATAGGGCGGAAGGCGCGGGGTGCCTGCACAGAGAGTTCCTGGAACTTTGCAAATTTCTGCTTCTCTTCATCCCACAGGTAGATGTGGGTGAAGGAGAAGTCACTCCCCAGGGCCATATATTGATGCTGGGACACCCGGAACGGCTCCATCACCATGGAGCCTCGGGAGGGCAAGGTCTGCAGCTCCGTGAACCGCAGGCCCTCCCACTTGACCACCTTGGAGTCGCCAATGTAGCGGCTGAGGCACAGGAAGTTGTCCCTCTTGACCCGGAAGTGCTTGACCATCTGGACGTCCATCACGTCTGCCACATCGCCCAGGTGGAGGAACTGCTTCTGCGAGCGGTTCCACTGGTAGATGATGGGGGCCTGGGAACTGCTGGAGATGATCAGCCGGGGCTTGCCGTCAATCTCCAGGTACTCCACGTCGGTGTCACGGTGCCACGAGTGCAGGTCCTGGTGGGGGTGGAAGCCATTCTGGTTCCAGCGGTAGAGGCTGGTGGAGCCAGCTTTGGAGCTGTCAGCAATGACGAAGAACCACTCGCCCTCGATCTGGAAGGCCTCGATATCGTTGGGCTTACGGATCTTCTGGCTGTCGATGTCCTGGATCTTGATGAACTTGTCGATGTTGGTGTCCCAGCGGTAGATGTAGGAGCCGCCGAAGAGCTGGGCCACCACGACGTAAAGCTGTGACTCGGCCACAATGGGCTTGCAGTAAACGGCTGAGTGAGCTGCAGGAGAACATTATGAGGCATCAACAGAGGAATAGGTCTGTTATAGGAATTCTAAGGTCATATATGCTTTTGAATTATGATGCTGGAGGAGACTCTTGAGAGTCCCATGGACTGCAAGAAGATCAAACCTATCCACTCTTAAGGAAATCAACCCTGAGTTCTCACTGGAAGGACAGATCCTCAAGCTGAGGCTCCAATACTTTGGCCACCTCATGAGAAGAGAAGACTCCCTGGAAAGACCCTGATGTTGGGAAAGATGGAGGGCACAAGGTGAAGGGGACGAAAGAGGATGAGATGGTTGGGCAGTGTTCTTGAAGCTACAAACATGAGTCTGACCAAACTGTGGGAGGCAGTGGAAGACAGGAGTGCCTGGCATGCTCTGGTCCAGGGGGTCACGAAGAGTTGGACACGACTCAATGACTAAACAACAACAAAGGTCTTATACTGTATATATATAAAATAAATCTTCATAAATGTACAAGGCAAACACATACATAAGTATATAAACCATGTGTCTGAAATAGTACAGGAGAACAATCCTGAAGCCATTTTGACTCTCCTAAATTGACCTCAAATATTTCTCTGCAAGGAGGAAGGAAATGGGAAAAGCTCTCCAATTGTCTTTGGAGTGTAGGGGCTTATAGTTCCCTGTAAATACAGTCTGGCAAGTATCTGTCAAGCTGAGCACACTATCAATATGCGGAAGAGATTCAGGAATTTTACCATCTCAAAGGAATGGCCAGGCTACCCAAAAAAGGCAGTCCTGGCAGACAGGAGAGAAGCAACACACTCAAATTTCTGCTGGGGACCACCTCTTTCTGTGATGTATGTATGATTTTTCTGAGGGTGGTCTTGAGCTACAGGGTGGGCAATATCAAAAGTCTATATAAGAGCTTGCACACCAATGTTCTGGGTTCCTCTCCTCCCTCCCTGCGTTGGGTGAGCGGGGGACCCTGTTGCAACAGTTTAATAAAGATCAGGCTTACTAGCCGCTTTGCTTCTCAGTATTCTCTAGTTGGCCTCTGTTCTTTTCTCCTACCGATAGAGAACCTACATAAGGACTCTATATGGGCTCTTGGATACCCCATAAGGGGAAAAGGAGCAGTTCTTTTTACTTATTTCAGTTGGAAGGAGACCCAAAGGGTCATCTCTTTCGATCCCTGCCCTGCAATGCAGGAATCACAGCTAAATGTTGCAAGCAACAGACTACAAGGAAGGAGGCACCATGGAGAAAAATTTAACAATGGCAGAAAAAGAGAAATTTCAGAGGGAAACAGGTTTAGAAATAACAAAAAAAGTGAAGTACCTGGGTGTGAACTTGACTTCTAAAAATGTGAATTTATTTAAAGACAATTATGACAAATGCTGGATAGAGGTGAAGAAAGATCTAGAAATATGGTCACGGTTGAGACTTTCCTTGTTAGGCCGAATTGCTGTCATCAAGATGAATGTATTGCCTAGAATGTTGTTTTTGTTTCAGACACTTCAGATCTTAGATAAAATGGACTGTTTCAAGAAGTGGCAAAAAGACATATCAAAATTTGTCTGGCAGGGCAAAAAGCCCAGAATAAACTTTAAGATCTTAACTGATGCAAAAGATAGAGGGGGGTTTGCCCTGCCGGACCTGAGACTCTACTATGAATCGGCAGCGTTTTGCTGGCTGAAACAATGGCTGCTTCTTGAGAACACAGACATTTTGGATCTGGAAGGGTATGACAATAGATTCGGTTGGCATGCATATATATGGTATGACAAGGTAAAAATACACAAAGGTTTTAAAAACCATATTGTTAGGAAAGCACTATATAATGTTTGGATAAGATATAAAGATCTACTGGAAAGTAAAACTCCCAGGTGGCTATCACCAATGGAAGCTAAAGAGACGAAAAAACTTAATATGGAGTCCAAATGGCCAAAATACGGTGAAATCTTAGAGCAAGATGGTGAAAGGGTCAAATTACAGAGTTATGATAAATTAAAGTCTAAAGTACGAGATTGGTTGCATTACCTTCAGATAAACGAGGTATTCAAACAGGACAGGAAAATAGGTTTTCAGATGGAGAGGTCGAAATTAGAAACAGAATTGTTAGAACCCAATACTAAGAACTTGTCAAGAATGTATAATTTGCTGCTGAAATGGAACACACAAGATGAAACAGTAAAATCAGCTATGATTAAATGGGCACAAGACATAGGTCATAACATTATGTTTGAAGACTGGGAAAGGCTGTGGAATACTGGTGTCAGATTCACGGCCTGTAATGTTTTGAGAGAAAATATAATGAAAATGATTTATAGATGGTATATGACCCCAGTCAAACTTGCAAAAATTTACCACTTGCCCAATAATAAATGTTGGAAATGTAATGAAACTGAAGGTACTTTCTATCACCTTTGGTGGACCTGCCCGAGGATTAAGGCCTACTGGGAAATGATCTATAATGAAATCAAAAAGGTCCTTAAATGGACATTTCCTAAAAAACCAGAGGCTTTTCTCCTGGGCATGGTGGGCCAATTGGTGCCAAGGAAGGATAGAACCTTTTTTATGTATGCCACCACAGCAGCAAGGATTCTTCTGGCAAAGTATTGGAAGACGCAGCAGCTACCCACTCTGGAAGAATGGCAAGCGAAGGTGATTGACTACATGGGAATGGCTGAGATGACCGGCAGAATCCGTGACCAGGGGAAAGAGACAGTGGAAGAAGATTGGAAGAAATTTAAAGTATACCTTAAAAACTGTTGTAAAATTGAAGAGTGCTGAGATGTTATGGTGTTAAGAAATAGAGAATTGCAGCTGTATATCATAAATTTAAGGGAGCTATAATGAAGATGAATTAATAATGAAATGAAGGGTTGCTGTTAAAAGGGAAAAATAAGGATGCAGAAAAAGGGAGGTATGGGGAAGTCCGGGAAACAAGGTGAAGGAGAATGAGTTTATGAAATTGTACATGTTTATTTGTGTGTATGTTTTGTTTTGTTGTTTGTTTTTATTACATGTTTGGAAAACTAATAAAAAAATTTTTTAAAAAAAAAAAAGGAAGGAGGCACCATGGAGAGAGGATTGGGAAATGAAGCAACAACCCCTTCAAACAGGTTGCGATGAGGAATGTGGCATGCACCTTAGTCACCCCTGCCCTCTGGCATTTTTAAATGCATGCCAAAAGACATGCATCTGTTGCACACGTGCATGACAGTTTTAGGTGGACATTCTGCAAAGGCCACCACCCCCAGATACATCATGTCTACATCACAGAAAAGGCGGTCTACAACAGAAATCTGAGTGCGTTGTTTATCTCCTGTCTGGCAAGTTACCTGATTGCATTATCTGGGTTTTGGCCACTCTTTTGTTATTATAACTACTTAATTCCTGAATCTAGGTCAAGGGTCAAAGGCTCACACCCTGTTCATATCTTGAATGTGCCCTTAAGACAGGATTTGGGAGGACAGGATCTGTGAGGAAAGAAACAACGGGGAGGTTTCCCACTTTGACCTTTCAGAGAAATATTTGAGGTCAATTTGTTCAGGACATTTTCTGTGGGGTTTCAGACATGTGGCTTATACCGGTATATACAGCTATGAACATTTATATTATGACCTTAAAATTCTTATAACACAATTCTACAAATTCTATGATTCCATCCACTGCTTACCAGGGATGCGGTCAAAGTCCCGCAGCTTCCGTTCGACATAGTCCCACTTGAGGATGCTGCAGCTGCTGGAACTGGGCTGGGCCAGGGCCACGTAGAGGTCGCTGGAGTACAGGAACGGCTCTGCGGACACAGACTGGAAAGGCAGGACCTGGTGCACCACAAAGTCTGATGTAGGAAAGAAACAAAGAGACCTTGTCTGTATCCCAAACAATTCCTGCTGATTGCCTTAAAAAAGCCATTAAATGGCTTGGGACTTTGGATACCTGAAGGGCCACATTCTACCACACCAGCCTGTCTGAACTCCATGGGTTCCCATTCCCACATGACATTAGACACTGGTCAGGAAAAACCTTCTTGATTAGGATGTCCTATTTACATAGCATCTTCACCTCCTGGACATCAGTCCAGTGCCAGGGTAACCTTCCCTACCCACCCATGTTTTGCCACGTGAAGTGTAGGTCGTTTTTTGCCATGGTTTCATCCGTTCTGTTACATTTCATTGTTCTGTAGTGTGAACATAAGAATGTAAGAAGAACCTGCTGGGTCAGGCCAATGGCCCATCTAGCCTAGCATCCTGTTCTCACAGTGGCCAACCAGCAAGCAGGACCCAAGCACAAGAGGCCTCTCCTCTCCTTTGGTCTTCAGCAGCTGGTCTTCAGAAGCACTGCTTCCTCTGACAGAGCCATCCTGGTTGGTAGCCATCGACAGCTCTCTTCTCCTCCATGAGTCTGTCTAATCTTTAAAAGTCATCTACGTTGGTGACCAGGGACGTGGGTGGCACTGTGGTCTAAACCACAGAGCCTAGGGCTTGCCGATTAGAAGGTCAGCGGTTCGAATCCCCGCGACGGGGTGAGTTCCTGTTGCTCAGTCCCTGCTCCTGCCAACCTAGCAGTTTGAAAGCACATCAAAAGTGCAAGTAGATAAATAGGTACCGCTCCTGTGGGAAGGTAAACGGCGTTTCCGTGCGCTGCTCTGGTTCGCCAGAAGCGGCTTAGTCATGCTGGCCACATGACCCGGAAGCTGTACGCCAGCTCCCTCAGCCAGTAAAGCAAGATGAGCGCCGCAACCCCAGAGTCATCCGTGATTGGACCTAATGGTCAGGGGTCCCTTTACCTTTAAGTTGGTGACTATCACCATCACTGCCTCGTGTGGGAGCAGGTGTCACAGTTGAACTATGCACTGAATGAAGGACTTTCTTTGACCTGTCCTGAATCTTCTGGCATTCAGCTTCACTGGATGTCCAGTGTTAGGAGAGAGGGAGAAAAATGTTTCTCTATTCACTTTCTCCATGCTGTGCATCATTTTACAGAGCTCTGTTCATGTGAACTCCTCTTTGCCTCTCCTCGTACCTAACCCTTTTCTCCAAACCGGAGTGTCAGGGATGTGACTGAGCTGGATGCCTGGGAAGAGTCTGACTCTGGAGATGAGGGAATGCAGTCACAGATAAGGCAAGAGTGGGTTAGTTTGACACACACACCCCGAGTTTCCAGTCGCAAATAGAATAGTAGACTCAGAAGGCTCACAGTCGGCGGGCAGGGGAGGAATCAGACGGCCTTCAGGGGGTTGCTATGCAACCAGAAGGGAGGCAGCGTTTAGAAGGCTCTTCGTTTGAGAGTGGAGGGAAAGTCCATCCACCTTCCGCCCAAACCAGGAGGGCTGAAAAGGTTGAAATGCAACAGAAGTGCAAGGGAGGAAGGACTGGACTTTGGCGTGCTTCGTGCTGCGGAAGGGGCGGAGATTCAGAGTGAGCAACTAGTTAACAAGGGAGGCTGGTTCAGTGTGTTAATTGTAAATAAATGTACTATAAACCTGTAAGAGGCTCATTAATTCGTATTGGAGCTTGCTCGTGCCTGCCAGAGATCCTGACACAGAGGTTGGCATAGTTTTATAAAGTCAGTCATGACACCTCGTACTCGCCTTTTCTTTCAACGAAGAAGTTCCAAACCAGGCATAGGCAAACTCGGCCCTCCAGATGTTTTGGGACTACAACTCCCATGATACCTAGCTAACAGGACCAGTGGTCAGGGATGATGGAAGTTGTAGTCCCAAAACATCTGGAGGGCCGAGTTTGCCTATGCCTGTTCCAAACGGTGCAACTTTTCTCCATGCGAGAGTCGCTTCAGCCTTTTGATCATTTTGGTTGCCCTTTTCTGAACCTCCACAGGTTTGTAGTGAGACAACCAAAACTGTACAAGGTATTCCAAATGTGGTCATGGCAGGCACAGATCTGCAGGAGAAGGGGATGGCAAGGCAGGGTTCCTCCCCCCCCCAGCAAAATCTGTAGATGCACCGCTGCTTCTGGGTGCCATTCTATTTCCCAGAAGGCCATGCAAATACCACCTGTTCCTACCTGTGGTGACGCAGTCAAAGTCCTTGAGGGGCAGGTCCCGGATCTTCTGGCCTTGGTACTGAGCGGGGCTCCCACAGAAAACGGCGGGGATGCTTGTGTTGGTGCTCTCCATCCATTCCACTAGCCACTTGATGTTGCAGTCACAGGTCAACGAGTTGCCCCGGAGGTCTCTGTCAAAGAGAGAGGCAATTCAGGAGCAATCACCTCCACCCACAAATTGGCTACCGTATTTTTCGCTCTATAGGACGCACTATTTCCCCTCCAAAAATTAAGGGGAAATGTGTGTGCGTCCTATGGAGCGAATGCAGGCTCCTTGGCTTCAGCGATAGCAACGCAAAGCCTCTGAAGCGCAGAGGGAGCGCTCCCTCCGCGCTCTGGAGGCTTTGCGTTGCTTTTACTGAAGCCTGGAGAGCGAGAGGCATCAGTGCGCACTGACCCCTCTCGCTCTCCAGGCTTCAGGGATAGCCGCCTGAAGCCTTTGGAGCACAGCGGGACCTCACGCTGCGCTCCGAAGGCTTCGGGTTCCTTTTGCTGAAGCCGGGAGAGAAGGGGCTCTGTTTCTCCTGCCGCTTCGCTGAAGGGGCGCTGAGCAGAGAGGGGGAGAATTTTTTTCCCCCTGTTCTCCCCCTCCTATGGTCCGGTGCGTCCTATAGAGCGAAAAATACGGTAATTTAAGAGCAGTCACCCAATCCAAAGGCAAGATTGCAAATCTGATCCAGCATTCTCCAACTACCGCTGTCCCCCCCCCCACTCTCCTCCCTAAGTACAGAGATTCCCTGTGCTTTGAAAATCCGAATAGGATTTGTTTGCTGTCCATCTTCACCAATAATAATGCTGATCTTATAATTCGTTTGCTTGTCAGTGTAGACTTATCCTGCTTAACTAGTTTTTTCTGTGGTCTTCTCTAATGTTAACACATAATAAACAAATTATTATTATTGCTGTCTGGAATGGCTCTAAGTGCAAGGAAAGCAAGACAAAAAAACAACAACCTTAGAATGTTTGCTTTATGAAAATTACAGGATTTCAGCTGGAAGTTACAGGTTATGCCCTGATTGGAAATGAAGCAGTGTGACCACCCAAAACTTTTTCATGTATTGAAATTAGTGTTGAAAGTAGGATAGCGTTTGATTACCCCAACAGCATCATGGACACAAATAATAATAATAAATGCACAGTGAAAAGAATGTCTGCTTCATTTCCAGTCAATGCCCATCCTGAGACTCCCTGCTGAAATTTGATAACCACAAATGTTCTGGGTTTTGTTCCACTTTTACTGCGCTGTGGTCTCTCTGGACAGCAATATTATGGTAGCCCAAATCCGCTACTGATGCACTACTATTGTGTAAAGAACATGTCGCTTTAAAGTGGAGTTGGTGCTTTTAAGTCTCACTGATCTTGAAAAGGAGAATGATACCTATGCTTAATGCTCTCCTTTCCGCACAAATGAAATCAAATTATTTAACCGGGTGTGTCTTGCTGCTCCAAATTAAATTGGTCCATTCTGCTTGGCTCACCCATTTCCAGCAAGCCCTTCCCAGTAATTGAAGAAGAGAAGAAGAAGAGTTTGGATTTGATATCCCGCTTTATCACTACCCGAAGGAGTCTCAAAGCGGCTAACATTCTCCTTTCCCTTCCTCCCCCACAACAAACACTCTGTGAGGTGAGTGGGGCTGAGAGACTTCAGAGAAGTGTGACTAGCCCAAGGTCACCCAGCAGCTGCATGTGGAGGAGCAGGGAAGCGAACCTGGTTCACCAGATTACGAGTCTACCGCTCTTAACCACTACACCACACTGGCTGGACTGTGGTTAATTTAATTACAATGGTGGGTCTTTCATCTATGGTGAAATTCTTGCAGCTTGCCATGAACTTGTGGGCCACAAATATGGGAGGACATTGCAATATTTGCAATTGCAAAAGGTGCAGGGAGCAGAATTACTTGCACCGAAGTGGGAAGGAACCTTACAGGTCGCTCAAGATGTCCAGCGGTTTCAGGAGGCCTCTGGGCAGCGTCTGCAGATTGTTGTAGGCCAAAGACCTGAAAGAAAGGAAGACGTGAATGTTGGGTTGTGCCAGGGGTTCCCCTCTTTGCTGCTCTTGAGGAACATAAGGATGTAAGAAGAGCCTGCAGGATCAGGCCAGGGGCCCATCTAGTCCAGATTCCCATTCTCACAGTGGCCAACCAGATGCCCCAGTGAGGAGCCCACAAACAGGACCTGAGCACAAGACCCCTCTCTGTGGGATGTGAAACACAGAGCAGTCAAGTACAACATCCCTAGAGTGGACATAAAAAGGAGATGTCTGGACCAGCCAGTCGGAACTTCTGGGTCATGTGGCCAGCATGACTAAGCCGCTTCTGGCAAACCAGAGCAGCGCATGGAAACGCCGTTTACCTTCCCACCGAAGCGGTACCTATTTATCTACTTGTACTTTGACGTGCTTTCGAACTGCTAGGTTGGCAGGAGCTGGGACTGAGCAACGGGAGCTCACCCCGTCGAGGGGATTTGAACCGACGACCTTCTGATCAGCAAGTCCTAGGCTCTGTGGTTTAACCCACAGCGCCACAAAAGTAGTCATAAGCAATAAAAATAAATATCAAAACACAAGCAACATAATTTAACACACACACCCCACAAGTCACAATAAGATCCACAAACAGAGATAGAAAAATTTAACATCAATAATAATGTGATTCCAGCATTGCAGAGGGTTGGACTAAATGCCTCTTGGGGGATTTATAGAGCTACAAGTCTATGATTCTACAACAGCAAAATTAACATCTCCAAAATTAAATCTTGACCCCAAGAAAACAACAACCCCTAAGCTTCATTATTATTCTGGCAGGCATGTCCCACACTGCCAGGAGTGAGTGCACCAGTTAATCTTAGGTTGTCAGCAGCATGCAAGACCCAGTGCAGATGCTTTTGCCCAAGTGGCAACTCACAGGTGTGTCAAGGACTTGAGCCCACGAAAGGCATTTTTCGACAGAGCCTGGATGTTGTTGTTCTCGATGAACCTGAAGGCAAAGAGAAAGACATATTCTCACCCAGGGACTCCCTTGCTTTTTGTAGGCCACCGCCCTGCCTTGCTATCATAAACTCATCCCTAATACCCACTACCCTATCCTTAAAAAAGCATCATTCAGAACAGCAATTTGCACGACCTACCAAGGAAGATAATAAAATCTTGAATAAAATTCAAAACGTTAGCAGTTAATTGCACATTGATTCAAACCCCCCATTAACTGTAGATTTAGTTTAATGAATTCAACAAAAACTATGAGCTTGACTGACATCGGTGTGAAGGAAGGTGAGGACAGGTGCACCACCTAGGCCCGAAGTCACCCCCCCCCCCGCCCCAAAGCAGGCTCATAGCTTCTCAAAGCTTTTCAAAATCATTTTCTCAGCAGCTAAAAGGCATTAGCTAAGCATCAGAAACATTTCGCTCTGCTGTAACGAAGGTCGCTTCTCAGGCTAATTGACCTTGCCAAACAGTACATTCAACTTGCAACTTTTCTTTCCAGGAACTGTTGCCAATAGAGCAAGAGAAGAAACATATCGTAACACTCTGAAACCCCTTGGCTTCTCACCCCCCCCCCTTTCTTGGGAAGAGTCCCAAGACAGGAGCTTTCTGTTCATGCTCAGAGGAACTCATGGGGCAGGACTCCTGAGGGAGGAGAAAGGGGAGGGAACTGGAAGGGGAATATATACACTGTGCAAATGACTGTGAACTCGTGCTTGTTTGTGAACTATCACACTTGCTCCTTCTACCAGTTCATGGATGGTAGAAATAAAAGCTTTTTCTCCGAAACTATTCCTTGAGTGTCTGTTGACTCCCATCTCCCTTTCCTGGGCACAATATTTTTCCCACCTGAGGGCAAAGCCTCATAAGGCTACAGGTGAAATAAAAATTTTAAGGTCATATATATCTATATATATAATGTTCATAAATGTACCAACCAAGCACATACATAGATGTGTGGACCACATGTCTGGAGCAGGACACGAGGACCACCCTGAAACCATTTTAACTCCCAAACTGACCAAATGTTTTCTCTGCAAGGAGGGAGGAGGTGGGGGAGCCTCCCCATTGCCTTTTTGCTCACAAATCCTGTCTTTTAAGGGTATGTCTGTGTAAGAATAGGGTGAGCCTGTGACATGGCTCAGGAACTAAGTACTTGTCATTACAAAAGACTGGCCAGGCTCCCCAGGGTATCCAATCAATTAACAGGTAACCTGCCAGTCAGGAGGTAAACAACGCACTCAGATTTCTGTTGTAGACCACCCTTTCTGTGATGCAGGTATAATGTTTCTGGAGGTGGTCTTGGACTCCAAGGCGGGCAATTTAAAATGTCTATATAAGGGCAGGCACACCTTTGTTCTGGGTCCTCCTCCTTCTCCTGCGTGTGGGGGAGCACCCTGTTGCAACAGTTCAATAAAGATCAGGCTTAGGAGCTGCTTTGCTTCTCAATATTCTCTGTTTGGCCTCTGTTATTTACTCCGATCGATGGAGAACCTACAAAGGACTCTATAAGGGCTCTTGTGTCTCCCATAAGGGAATAAGGGCAGATTTCCGTTTATTACACCAGCTTTTGAAAGTCTGATAGTCATTGACAACCCCTCCCCAGCCCCCGCCAGCCCTCCATTGGTTGCGTAGGGATGGGCATGGCTGTAGCTGGAATAAGATGTGTGACCTTTGTTGTGTATTTTGTTGTTCCTAAGACTTATAAACATCAGCTCTCCCCTTTCCCCCTGTTCCTGGCACTTCTTCCTACTACAAGTGTTGTCCCAGTGTGTCCCCTTGTAGAGACCCGTACAGGTACTGCAGGTGGGAGAGTCCAGTGAACGCATTGTCCCCAATCAAGGAAAACGTGTTGGAATTCAATAAGCTGCAAAGAGAAAAGACACGGTGTTAAGGCGGTGAGATGGGACAGTAAACCCTAGCAATGCTTGGCTTAACATTTCATGTCAAATTCTGTGCGACTGCCATAAAACTTAGGGAACAAGCTGTACTACCAAAATGATTAATGTTTTAAATGACAATTTTAGGTTATATTTTAGTGATTAAGATTTAATGTATATTTTTAACTGCTGTTATATCTGAATTGTCTCTGTTAAACCCAATTGCAATCCAATGTATCCCTGTTGTGTTTTATGATTTTTCTGATATTGTAAGTGAGCCAGAACTGGTCTGTGACCGTAATAATAAAATTCATTCATTCAGCATTTCATGTCACGTTGCGGGGGTTGGACTAGATGACCCTTGGGCCCCTTCCAACTCTTCAATTCTAGGATTTTGCTTTGAGTATCACAAGGAGATGGCTTCAGAAGAGGGAGAGATGGGAGCTCAGCGCCTCTTAGTTGAGAGACCAGCAGATTTAAGCTTTCCTAAAGGGACTCCTGACCGTTAGGTCCAGTCGCAGACAACTCTGGGGTTGCGGCGCTCATCTCGTTCTATAGGCTGAGGGAGCTGGCGTACAGCTTCTGGGTCATGTGGCCAGCATGACTAAGCCACTTCTGGCGAACCAGAGCAGCACACGGAAACACTGTTTACCTTCCCGCCGGAGTGGTACCTATTTATCTAATTGCACTTTGACGTGCTTTCGAACTGCTAGGTTGGCAGGAGCAGGGACCAAGCAATGGGAGCTCACCCTGTTGCGGGGATTCGAACCGCCAACCTTCTGATCGGCAAGCCCTAGGCTCTGTGGTTTAACCCACAGCGCCACCAGCATCCCTCCTCCTCCTTTATTCCATCCCAGTTGCTCATCACATGAATTCTGCAAATTCATCACATGAATTCTGCGAATATTTAGAAGTCGCAAAAATGATAGAGTTAATAAGAAATCAATCGATAGATAAGCTTAAGAAAGAATGGGAATGTTTTAAAAATTACTTGAACAAACATGGTTCCAACAATAACACTTGGCAGTGTTTAGACAGAGGTATCCGAAGATGGAGACCAATAATTAAATACAGGTCAAAGATAGGAATGGCTGAACTGAAAGCAGAGAGCAGACAGAAGTCAACAAACCAACAAATTAAAAAATGGGATTCAATCTAGTAGGAGGGACTTTGTGAGCAGTATACCCTGGTACTGGTTTGAATTAACAAATACAGTAATGCTTTTGTTTGATAGGTATTTTTAGTCTTGTAAATTTTTTGGTTTCATTGCCGTTCATGTTTCTGTTTCTTTTTTTCTTTTCTCTCTCTCTCTCTCTTTATTTCTTTTATATAATACACATTTATTCTAGATGTTTGATAATTTGATAACGTATACTGTAATAACTATCTTTAAGCTAGAAATACCCAATGTAAGTTGTGCTTTTTTTCTTTGTTTTGTTTTTTGTATGAAATGTTTGTTTAATAAAAGGGAATAAAAATTAAATTAAATAAATAAATGTGTAACTAAAAAATAAATAAATTCTGTAAATAGGAACTAGTGCCTGGGTTTGTCCGTCCCCCCAATCCTTTTCCTTTTTTTGTTGTGACTTTTAGAATGTAAGGTGTAAGGAGTGTTCTTATTCCTGATATTTATAAGCCTCTCTGGGAGGGTTTTTCTCCTTGCTTTTTCTGAAAAGCTGGGTAAAAATACTTTTTTAAAAAATCAGTAAATGCTCCCCCCCCCCACCTCGTTCAAGGTCTGATTGACATATTTAAGGTAAGGGGATTTTTCTTTCTAAACTGATTTTCCAGTGACCGCACAGGTGGTGTGCCTTCAGGACTGATGTCCTGCTCTGCACATTGCAGAATATTTATTTATTCATTTAATAAAATTTATATACTACTTGATCACAAAAAAACCCCCGCACTCAAAGAGGTTTAGGGGGAAAAGATAAAACAATAAAACTATCAGTAAGAAAAATGAACAACTTCAAAACTTTCAAAAAGTTAAAATAACAATAGAATAAAAACTGATTTAAACTTGCACCACCTTTCTAAATATCTGGGTAGGCTTGTCTAAAGAAAAAATGTTTTTGGCAGCTGCCAAAAAGTACAGCAGGGACGCGGGTGGCGCTCTGGGTAAAACCTCAGCGCCTAGGACTTGCCGATCGTCAGGTCGGCAGTTCGAATCCCCATGGCGGGGTGCGCTCCCGCTGCTCGGTCCCAGCGCCTGCCAACCTAGCAGTTTGAAAGCACCCCCGGGTGCAAGTAGATAAATAGGGACCGCTTACCAGCAGGAAGGTAAACGGCGTTTCCGTGTGCTGCGCTGGCTCGCCAGATGCAGCTTGTCACGCTGGCCACGTGACCCGGAAGTGTCTGCGGACAGCGCTGGCTCCCGGCCTATAGAGTGAGATGAGCGCACAACCCTAGAGTCTGTCAAGACTGGCCCGTACGGGCAGGGGTACCTTTACCTTTAAAAAGTACAGCAAAGGCACCTGCATGGTCTCAAGAGGCAGGGAGTTCCAAAGTGTAATGGTGCCAATTCTGTCAACTGAAGCAGCCGAGTAGGCATGTAGGGGATGAGGCTCTAGCCTAGAGAAGAAAGGTGCCAACTAGCAGCTCAGGTGATGCAGAGTTCCTCTCAACTTGTAAAGGAGCTAAGAACTTGCAAGGAATTCCAGTTCCACAAGAGCTATGCTCTGCTTTGACCTAGGAAACTTATTTCATGGAAAGTTATCTTGACTGTGAAAGGAACTCCAGACAGTTTAGTTGAAATGGACAGAAGGAAAACAAAGGCTCATGAAAACCAGATGTTTCCCACTCCAGTTGGGCAATTCTATTAGTGCCTTGCCCTGTGGCATTAACTATACAGTGGTACCTCGGGTTAAGTACTTAATTCGTTCCGGAGGTCTGTTCTTAACCTGAAACTGTTCTTAACCTGAAGCACCACTTTAGCTAATGGGGCCTGCTGCTGCACCGCCGCTGCACGATTTCTGTTCTCATCCTGAAGCAAAGTTCTTAACCCGAGGTACTATTTCTGGGTTAGCGGAGTCTGTAACCTGAAGCATATGTAACCTGAAGCGCATGTGTCAGGGGCTCAGGAGCAGAGGCCCTGACAGCATGTAACCCGAGGTACCACTGTATTGCAGAGTCCACATTCCAACCACTGCCGTTTCTAAGCTGAAAAAGTTAATGTGTCAAGGCAGAAAGGATGTCCTCTCTCATCTGCTGCCATGGAAAACTCCTGCCCTTTGCCCAATTACAGTGGTACTTCGGGTTACAAATGCTTTGGCTTACAAACGCCTCAGGTTACAAACTCCGCTAACCAGGAAGTAGTACTTCGGGTTAAGAACTTTGCCCCAGGATGAGAACGGAAATCGCACAGTGGTGGTGTGGCGGCAGCAGCGGGAGGTCCCATTAGTGAAAGCGTGCCTCAGGTTAAGAACTTAACTCGGGATAAGTTCGTAACCCGAGGTACCACTGTGCTAGCCTAGGCAGTCACTCTAATGGTAAAGTTCTTTGGCTGGCTAAGCAGCGCTGTGACGAACTCAGGATAACAAGAACCCTTCTCCCCAAAGACAAAACCAGGGGAAACAGACAGGCAGAGAGACATACAGGAACTGCAGGAACGGGAGGTGAGCGAAGGCGGCTTCTTTGATTTCGCTGAAGTCTGCATTTATCAGGGTCCTGCAGGAGAGGAGAGGGAAAGAGAGAGAAATGCTAAAACGTCTGCTGAAACAGAAGGAGGCAACTGAATCTCACAAAAGGATCTGTGCAGCAGTAAAAAGGTAGCTTGTCCACACTTCCACTTGTCCTGGGCCTTGAAAGCACATAAGTGAGTGCCGTTTCCCTTGCCCCACTCCTTTCCCTGTGAAAACCCATGCTTTTAACTCTAAATGGGAGTGAAAGTCAATCTGGAGAATTGCCCTTTGCTCTGATTGAGCACTAGAGAGCAGTTTCCCCTGGGGAAGCTCACAAAACACCGGGATAAGAGGAAAGCTTTTCTCTATCTCAGCACTAGAACTTGTGGACACACAATGAAGCTGAATGTTGGAAGATTCAGGAAAGATAAAAGGTATATTTTGTGCAAAAGATAAAGGTAAAGGACCCTTGGACGGTTAAGTCTAGTCAAAGGCAACTATGGGGCTCCCTCACTTTCAGGGCGAGGGAGCCAGCGTTTGTCCGCAGACAGCTTTCTGCGTCATGTGGCCAGCATGACTAAACCACTTCTGGTGCAACAGAACACTGTGACGGAAGCCAGAGCGCACAGAAACACTGTTTAATCTTCCCACCGCAGTAGTACCTATTTATCTACTTGCACAGGCATGCTTCTGAACTTCTTTTTTTTTAAATAACCTTTAGTAAGATTTTACAAATAGAAGTTTAAAAACAAAAGCACAAAAACAGACAAAAAACAAAAAACAAAATTTAAAAAGAAAAAATAAAAAGAAAAAATCACTCTTTCAAATATTATACCACTCATTAACTTATTTTCATGACTTCCTCACACCTCCCTTTTTTGTATTCCATTTATAGGTTTGTTCAGCAAATTCATACCCTCTTATTTTACCCTTAGTTATTTTCCTCACTTATTGTAACTTCTAATCATATTGCTAGAGCCACTTCGTTTCATTTCAACGTCATTCACATTCAAAAATTTTACAATATTTCTGTAAGTAAATTTTAAATTTCTTCCAATCTTCTTCCACCGACTCTTCTCCCTGATCTCGGATTCTGCCAGTCATTTCCGCCATCTCCATGTACTCCATTACTTGCATCTGCCATTCTTCCAGAGTGGGTAGGTCTTGTGTCTTCCAATGCTTAGCGATGAGTATTCTTGCTGCTGCTGTAGCGTACATAAAGAAAGTTCTATCCTTCTTTACCACCGATTGGCCGACTATGCCCAGGAGGAAGGCCTCTGGTTTCTGCTTCTGAACTTCTAGGTTGGCAGGAGCCGGGACAGAACAACGGGAGCTCACCCTGTCGCGGGGATTCGAACCGCCGACCTTCGGATCAGCAAGCCCAAGAGGCTCAATGGTTTAGACCACAGCACCACCCATATCTTTCGTGCAGTGCATAGTGAAAGCATGGAACTCCCGCAGGAAGCAGTGATGACCAGCAACACTGATGGCTTTAGAGCAGGCTTCCTCAACCTTGGCCCTCCAGATGTTTTGAGAATACAATTCCCATCATCCCTGACCACTGGTCCTGCTAGCTAGGGATCATGGGAGTTGTAGGCCAAAAATATCTGGAGGGCTGAGGTTGAGGAAGCCTGCTTTAGAGGACCAGACAAAGTCAAGACGGAGGAGAGGGCTATTGATGGCTACTGGCCATAATGGCTGTCCTTTGCCGCTACAGTTGGAAGCAACAGTGCTTCTGAATACCAGTTGCTGGAAACCAGCTTGGGTATGGACTGCATGCCCTCTGCATGGCGACGTCTGGTCAGCCACTGTGGGAACAGGAAGCTGGACTAGATGGACCACTGGCCTGAACCAGCAGACTCTTCTTAACTTCTTGTGTTCTTATGATACACAGAGAGTTTGTGTACCATCACACTAGAAACATATGTGGATTCCACACCTATGTAATTGGTCTGTACTTTGATGAGAGAGTGCAGGATTCTGTGGTTCCAGAGAGTGAACAATCTCGAGACAGGGAATAATAATAATAATAATAATAATAATAATAATAATAATAATAATTTATTTATATCCCGCCCTCCCCAGCTGAAGCTGGGCTCAGAGCGGCTAACAACAATAAAAGTAACTCAGTTTACATAAAATCACAATCAATTAATTGAAATGCATTCTAAAATCAATTCAGAATCAAATTGATGGCAACCATTGGGTTAGAGTTCTGCGAGGATCACCGAAGGAGGGGGTCCGGCTGTGCCTTGGCCAAAGGCCTGGTGGAACAGCTCCGTCTTGCAGGCCCTGCGGAAAGATGTCAAGTCCCGCAGGGCCCTAGTCTCTTGTGACAGAGCGTTCCACCAGATCGGAGCCACAACCGAAAAAGCCCTGGCTCTGGTTGAGGCCAGCCTAACCTCCCTGTGGCCCGGGACCTCCAAGATGTTTTTGTTTGAAGACCGTAAGGTCCTCCATGGGACATACCAGGAGAGGAGGTCCCGTGGGTACGAGGGTCCTAGTCCGAATAGTTGTGGCGAAACCAGTTTCCAATCTGCAAAGTAGGTGGCTTCTCCATTAGTCGCTCAAAGCACGAGCGACGAATTGGCTGTTTCCAATCACACTCCCAGCCACAAACTCACTCACGCCTGCTTCCAGATGTGTGTACGGTTTATCTTTTTTGTGTGTGGCATTTATGTTCCATCTTTTTCTTTGAGGATCTCAAGGGGGCTTACATTGTTCTCCTCCTCCCCATTTTATCCTCACAACAACCCTGTGAGGTCGGTCAGGCTGAGAGGCAGAGAGTGGTCCCCGGTTCACACCCAGTGAGTTTTTTTATTTGAGGTGCCCAGATGATGCCATTGTCATCAGAACGCCAACCTATCTCCACCCCCAACCCCATTTTGCTTCCCCATACTGGTAACAAACTGTGAAACCCCACCAATGCTTATGATCCTTTTCTGGGGCAAATTAACAAATTATTTTAAAATAAATAAAAATCTGCTGTTGTTAACTGCTGCCTACAACCTAAAGTTTGCTATGAAATGGTATGTATATATATATATATACCGTGTGGTGTGTGTGCTGTGTGTGTTGTCGTATATATGATTATATATCTATATGATCAGTTATATATATTATATATATCTATATATCTATACTATATCTATATATTTATATATCTATATCTATATCTATCTATATCATATCTATATCTAATATCTATATTCTATATCTATATCTATATCTATTTATATCTATCATATAAAATGTGATAATGTACCAACCAAGCACATACATCAATTGTAGGGACAGGTCTGGACGCACAGGAGGACCTGCCCTGAAACCATTTTTCACTCCCAAATCTGACCAAATGTTTTCTCTGCAAGGAGGGAGGAGGTGGGGGAGCCTCCCCATTGTCTTTGTTTGTTCACGAAATCCTGTCTCTTTAAGGGTATGTCTGTGTATGAATAGGGTGAGCCTGTGACCTGGCTCAAGAATTAAGTATTTGTCATTACAAAAGACTGGCCAGGCTCCCCAGGGTTTCCAATCAAGTAAGCATTAACAGGTAACTTGCCAGACAGGATGTAAACAATGCACTCAGGTTTCTGCTGTAGACTGCCCTTTCTGTGATGTAGGTATGATGTATCTGGGGGTGGTCTTCGACTCCAAGGCGGGCAATTTAAAATGTCTATATAAGGGCGGACACACCTTTGTTCTGGGTCCTCCTCCTTTCCTGTGAGGCGAGCACCCTGTTGCAACAGTTCAATAAAGATCAGTCTTATGACCTGCTTTGCTTCTCAGTATTCTCTGGTTGGCCTCTGTTATTTTCTCCGACCAATGGAGAACCTACAAAGGACTCTATAAGGGCTCTTGTGTCCCCCATAAGGGAATAAGGGCAGGTTTACGTTTATTACAGCTAATTAAGGCCCTAAAAAGACCCTAAGGGTCTGTCTGCACTACTGACTTTACAGTGGTGCCCTGCAAGATGAATGCCTCGCAAGACGAAAAACTCACTAGACGAAAGGGTTTTCCGTTTTTTGAGTCATTCCGCAAGACGAATTTCCCTATGGGCTTGCTTCGCAAGACGAAACGTCTTGCGAGTTCTTGCAAGTTTGTTTCCTTTTTCTTAAAGCCGCTAAGCCGCTAATAGCCGCTAAGCCGCTAATAGCCGCTAAGCCATTAATAGCCGCTAAGCTGCTAATAGCTGCTAAGCCGCTAATAGCCGTGCTTCGCAAGACGAAAAAACCGCAAGACGAAGAGACTCGTGGAACGGATTAATTTTGTCTTGCGAGGCACCACTGTATTTGCTTTTCATGCTACTCTCTTACCCTAGGAACGCTGGGAATCATAGAGGCCCCTCACCAGCAGGAATCCTTTGTGGAAAGCTAGGGCAGCAAACGTTAAGATAAAACTGATTTGCTTGCAGTGTATGGCTGGGCGTCCGATGTCATCCTCCTCAATTACTGTCAGGCTGTCCTACATTCACAGATTTCACGTCGTCTCACTCACTGGCTACAGGCCAAATGCTAAACTGCACATTTTTCTAGCTGGTAGGCGCCAGCCATCAGAATCCTGATGGCAAGTGACTGGACCGTGCAGACTTGTTTATCCTTTACCGTGGTTGTTATCTGCATATTTTGAAAATCTTTGAATTGTTTTTTTTAAAAAAGGTCGTCTCCTGACTTTAGCTCTCAGTAGGCAGAACCTGGGGCCCCAATCTTGCTCCATTCCACATGCACCCCTGAGATTGATCTCTCCTCCTTCTGTCCTTCTCCTCCTCTTCTTGCAGTTTCCCTTCTCTTTTATACATAAGCTGAGCACAGCCAAAGAAATATAGTCCCTTGGCAGAGAGGATGCATTTAAAGATCTCTCCATTTGCTGTGATTAATGAAGGGTGGTTGGAGAGAGGCTGGAAGAAACACTTAAACAAATCAATGCGGGCATCAGCATTGGCCAAGACGGCCGGCCGCACGTCTGGGAGAAAAGTGTTAGGAAATGCCAGAATTCCCAGTGGGAATAGGGTGGGGTTGCGGGAATGCTGAATCAACTTCGCAGCCCCTA